TGTTGTCCTGGCTAGCTAATTTTTCTGTTTTTTATAGAGACAGGGTCTTGCTCTTGTTCAGGCTGGTCTTGAACTCCTGACCTCAAGAAGTCCTCCCATTTCAGCCTTCCATAGTGCTAGGATTACAGGCGTGAGCCTCTGCGCCCTGCCCCTAGTGTGGCACTTAGGCTGGTGGGACGGCAAACTTTAAACAACAGAGCAGTAGGGAAGGGGTGGGTATGTGGTTTTCATTTGTGGCAGATGCCAGGAAGCAAAAGTAAGGAGTTGGTGATAAAGTATAATTAAAACTAAAGTTTGAGTGAAGACTAGGAGTCCTTCCAGTGAAGGAGGGATAGGGGGAGAATATTGCAGCTAAAGTCATGGTGAACTTGGGCACCTGTGAAGGAAAGAGTGGCATAAAAAGTGATCAGAGAGGGGAAGGGGTGGAGTCTCGCTGGGTCTTGTAGGACAGAGTAAGGATATGGACTTTAGTTGGGGGTGAGGGGACATGAAAGCTAGAATAGCTGTCTGGCCCTTTACAGAAAGTTTGCAGATTCCTGAACTAGAGGGTTGTGGGATCTTAGAACTCCCACTGACTTGGCCAATAGCTTTTCTCAAACCTTCATTTCCTAGGACCAAGACCCCTGGACCTGGAGCCCAGTCAGCCCTCAGAGCCCTGGCCCGCTCTGGTATGAAGATCGGGCGGATTGGTAAGTAACTAATCCCCTGCCCCCCCAGCTAACACTTGGATTTATTTTGAAACGTCGGGCCTAAAAGGCATGTGATGTGCCCAGTGGATGTAGGGGCTGGTCTGATGAGTGACTGTTCGCAGTTAGGTTTGTTAAAAGAGGCTGCAAGAGGCATCTTGTGACTTAGAATCTCTCCCTGAATACCTCTATCACCTTGATATGAATGTCCTTCATTCTGCATTGGGACAGCCCAGTTTCATTTATGGATCTCTGCCCCACACTCCCTGGTGCAGGGGTTGAGACAGAGACTGGTGAAAAGATGAATTGTCCTTCCTTCCTAGTGTTTCTCAGGGGCATTGCTGTTGGCGCTTTGTATGTGCTGTTCTCCTGCATTGTGGGACCTTCAGCACCCGTGGTTTCGGCCTGCTAAATATCAGTAGGGTGTGCCAGTTGTGACAACCAAAAATGATTTGGGGGCGGCTAACAACTTCCATTAATACCGTCAAGTTTGTGATCTGGCCCATTATGGCTCCTAGGAAGGAGGTCTTAGCCCTTCCCCGTTGTTTCTGTGCAGTTAGTAGCAGTGTGCCCTGATCCTTTATAGTCTAAAGTTTCTTGAATAATCTTTTTGGATTATTTTCAGCCTCCTTTTACTTACTGAAAGGGAGACAGTTGCAGTTGCCCTGTTTAGGAGGATTAAGAGACAGGGTCTCACTCTGTTGCCCAGGCTGGAGTACACTGGTGCAGTCATAGCTCACTGTATCCAGCGGGTTTTTCCACTGGAGAAGTCAGTGAGTCAGTATCAGAAACCTGGATTTATCCTCTGCCTCTGACATCCTGTGTACTGTCATAGAGCCTGTTTCCCCTTCTAGAAAGCGAGTTAAGGACCACATCAGGAAATTTGAGAAAACAGTAGGTGGGGCAGCTCTGTGTTCATCTGTTATGTACTGAGGAGTCATTCGAGGAGCACAGGATCCATTGCTGATTGGTTAGACCACTGGCCAGGGGGTTCTTCCCATCCAGCTCCTGGCGATGATAACTTTCTTTCCCCCCCAACAGAGGACGTCACTCCCATCCCCTCCGACAGCACCCGCAGGAAGGGGGGTCGCCGTGGTCGCCGACTGTGAACTGGACTCCACGATATTTTCTGTTAATAAAATGCCTTCGTGTAAACTATTTCAAATCTCGTCTTTCTCCTTCGCGTGGGGGCCACTTAGGGATATTTGATTCCTTCTTCCTCCTGTCTAGGTTGGATCAGGGAATGGGGCTGACTGGAGGTCATAGGTGCGGTGCTACAGTAGCAGGCAGGGCACACTGCTTCAGAGGATGAAGATGACCTATTGGGAGGGATTGTTTCAGCCCCTGACATGGGACAGAATGAGCCTTTGTTCTGTGAACTGGCCTCCTGCGAGAAGGAGCCCCAGGAGAGCTGAGATACTGGTGCTGTAGTTGGGTCTTTTCCACGCTGCCTGTAGTGGCATTAAGTTGCCTTGGTCATCTAAAGCAGACCAAGGCCTTGGGGACCTTGTTTTGAAAGTAGAGATGGTTCTAAAAATGGACCAATTCTTAAAGAGCCAGAGCAGAGTGGGAACTGTTGATCCAAGTGTAGCCTGAGCAGAAGAGGAGCCTTCCAGACCTGAGCCATATATAAACACATGTGGGTGTGTGTTCTCCCCCCACACCTTCTGTGCAAAATTGGTAGCTCACTCCACTGCATCTTGCTTTTTTTCACTTGGCACATCTTGAAGATTGTTCCACATCAGTACAAAAAGTACATAAAGATTCACCCCACAAATACACACCAAGTCCTATTTTCATCAGCGATAAAGTTCTTGCCTTCCGGAAGCTTGCATCCAGCTCCAAGGTCCCAGTGACACCAGATGGTACTGAGTGTTCTTCAAAGGATTGCCACGGGACCCTGTGACTGCTGAGGTTGGGAGAGGCAGGTGTAGGATCAGCCAGGCCTTGCGGAGGGGAGAGGATGCTGAGGGTCCTAGGCTGGAGAGGTGAAGGCGTTGAGAATACAAGGTAGGAATAAGTTCTTGAGGAAAAAGCCAGTAAGGGGGATGTTTGGGGATCCTGTTACTTAGGGCAAACCCGTGATGCCTGTTTGAGCAGCGTGTTTCAGGCAGAGGGAATAAACAAATGGAAAGGGCCTAAGAGAAGTGTGGGTTACTGGGGGGCACTGGTTACATGCTAGACCCTGCTAGGCATTTCAGTCATCTCACTGAATCTTAAACCTGTTGGAAAAGGTACTGTTACCTCCATAAGGCACCTAAGAAAACCAGCTCAGAAAGTAACTTGGCAAAGGCACAGCTTTTAAAAGGATTGTGGTTCTGACTCCTGAGCTGCACTTTTTTAGCTCACAGCAACCTCAAACT